ACTACTTAAATTAGACAATGACTAAAGTTGTACGTGTGGCTTGTTGTATACTCTTCATGTAATTACAAACTGTAGGGATTGTCTATGTGTAATCTCGTATATCAAACTAAAAAAATCGCCCGGCAATGTAAGCCACCTTAAAAATAAAAAAATAAAAAAAAATATATTTTTTAAAATATATAAATAAACTTTATTTCTTTAAAGATAAAACAAAATGAATTTTGAACAAGAATCTAAGAGTTCTCCTTGGAGAAAGATACATCCAACCTTTAAAGTTCTCGATCATTAGATGTGGGGTATCAAGAAACCTCATGTAAAAAAAGTTTACAATCAGATCAGACTTGTTTCAATTAACAATATTTTTTATATCGAAGTCAAAACTCAGAAACCTGAGATCACATTTCTCACAGATATCTCAAACTACAAATATGTTCGATCTCATATCTGGTTTACACAAAAAAATAAAAAAGAACATACATCTTATATAGCAACAAAAATTAAAAAAAATAATAAATTAACAAGTTTATATTTTCATCACTTAATTAAATCTGAATGGAAGATGATCGATCATATTAACAGACAAGGAACAGATAACAGAAATATTAATATAAGAGAAACTACCAAACAAAAAAATGCTTTAAATCGCAAATTATGAATAAATAATATTTCTGGTTATAATGGTATTTATTATGATAAATATAAAAGATGGGTTTTTCAATGGAATGAAAATAAAAAACATAAAGTAAAATATTTTAAAACAAAAGAAGATACTATTAAATTTAAATTAGCACATGATAAAATCTCAGAAAACAGAAATGGTTATGATGTTTAAATTTGTAATTTATATTTTTTTATTAAATAAAGATTGATATATATTTTGCCTTTACAAATTATGAAATTTATAAAGTTTCTAGTCTCACCGCGTAGAGGTAATATATCTTTGAGACCAAAAGTTTATATGAGGAGCTTTGAATTCAGGTGAGGAAATATCTCGAGACACCAGCTCAATTTAGAGATATACTTTTTCATAACTCAACTCATTTATAACCCAGATATAGATTTGTCATAGCTGACTATCCTCTGTACATCAGGAGTCTATATGAGAGAAGCTCATACGTCTTTGTTTGAAATTCTTTCCTTGTATTTAGTCAAACAAGGAAATATAGAGAGAATTACTTTGACAGAAGTCATTTCTGTTCTCAAAAAAAACTAAAGACACTATTTTTCTCGTTTAGTGTAGAGGAATACACTATGGTCGAAAAATATTAGAACCATCTGAAGCAAAGTTTTTTTGAACTTGTTCTCTTACTATTCTATATGTTATAGTTTGCGTATCAAGTAATTTTTGCATGAAATGTTGCTAGGATGCTTAGAGCATAGTTTAGATAGCAAAGTATTCAGAGGCTAGCGCTTGATATGAAGCAGAAACAAATGTGAAATCATTGTAAGAGAACAAGTTGAGAAAATTATGAAAATCAGAAATTGATGAGTATATAGTACAAAATTTTATGTAGTACAACTGAGTCATATAACTATCAAATCTGTACATTATTCTATCAATGAGTTTCTAAATTTGTTCATACATATAAGTTTATAAATTTATGCATGTATATCATTTTTTTGAATAAAAATACGTACAGATATTATTATTTAATTTTTCTTTTTTAGGTTTATTAAAAATCAAGATTATGTAATATTTTTTTTTATCGATAAATTTTTTTATATAAAATATAAATGTATAGATAAAAAATAAAACTCAAAATTACGATTAAAAAATGAACTGTGAGTTACTATTAGTATTTGTGTTTATCAATAAAAAATATTAAATATTTTTTTTAGGCAACTGTAACAAATATGATTGTCCTATTTGTCTAGATTGGGGTCCAGTTCAGCTAATTGTAAAAGAATGGAATTTAAAATGTTTTTGGTGTAAAAAATATATCAAACAATGTGTATGTGGTTTTAAAAGTTGGAATTGGAATAGTATAATTTATTGTAAAATATGTAAAAAAAATAATCATGATATGAAAGATTGTTTTTTTAAACAAAAAACAAGATATTGCAATATTTGTAACAAGTATAATCATTATTATTCAGATTGTTGGTACAACAAATATAATAAAAATAAATAAAATAAAACTATAATTTTTACGTAGTTATACAATCTAAAATTAGCATAATAGATTTTCAAATTTATTAAATAAAGATAGTCTAAATATTTATCCGATAAATATATTTATTCGATAAATATAATTTATTTATTTATAATTTATAAATAAAATTTAAATATATTTATTATTCATTATATCTTAATATAATTCTGGAGTAGAAACATTTTTATTATTATTAACTCGTAATTGTAAATCACTGATAATTTGTTCTAGACATAATTTTTGACAAAGAATCAAGTATAATTTTGTATAATTTTAACATTTTAATACGTATTAAATTTTTATATGATAAATGCTTATCTCTGTATCATGAATTCTTTGTGTTTTATAATTAATAAGGTTATATAGATTCTATTTTTAGTTATAAAATATTTAAGCGTAAATAAGATTATGATTTCAAATTTAGAATTAATCATCTATAACTGAAACAATATAAGTTAATAATTACACATAATATGCAAGCCATATGAAAAGCTGCAGGCTTTAATTATTTACATAAAATGAACATATGAATGTAGTTTGATTCAAATTCGTTAAACAAATCTATAAAAATTCAGGTTTTTTTGTTCGACAAACATCAAAATTTACAAAAAAATTCTCAAATTCTTATAAAAAATCTTAAATGTTTTTTGTTGCACTTTACTTAATCATCTTCGTTACAATCATCATGCAATATTTTTTGGAAAATGTTAAAAGGATATCACAAACATTTAGTAGATCTAGCAGTATACAAGTTGAAAATTCCTCAGTTAGTTCAATGGAGGTTCAATCTGATAATCCTCCCACGTACGAAGAAGCAATTGCAGAACCTCAAAATTCTGCAAATATTGGTATAAATTTGATAACAATTCAAAATTTTTCTTCAAGTTTCAAATATAAACTTTTAACAGAATATTAAAATTTATTCAAAAATGTCTACTGGAATTTCTGAAAATATTATCTCTCCAGAAAACAATGTTTCTAGATCAGAAGCCGAAACACAAAATGTTTCTATTAGTACTGATCGATTGAGTGATTATATTGCTCAGAATATATCACTCCATAAATGAATTAAAAAATTAGAAGAAACAATTGGTCAGTATCATATTTCATAAATTAATTTTGTAAACCATTATTAACGATTATTTTTAATATTTAGTCTCTTACAAAAAATATTTTAAATATTTAATTATTATATTTATTATAATATTTTTTATTCTTTTGTTTTTGTTTAGTGTTTATATTTTTTGAACTGGAACTGTTCATAAAATGAACATTCAATTGTTGACTCAACAAGTAGAAGTTCAAGTAAAGAAAGAATTATTTAATACTCATTTAGATTTAGTTGAACATCAATTTTCAGAATTTATAAATTCAGTTAAAATAAAATAGATTTTATTTGTAATTTTTTATTAAATTTAATAAATTAAAAAAAAGATTTTCTTGATCGGTTTCTGATCTAGAAACATTGTTTTATGATTGGAAATCGACCAAGAAGATTTTTTTCATATTTAATTTAACAATTTTTTAAAGTATTTTTAAATAACTTTGTATTAATTTTTTTTAATGTTAATAAAAAATCTTATAATTAAAAATTATTCTACGTATAATTTAAAAATTATAAAAATAATTTTTAATATAGTCTGAAATCTTTACTTTATAGTAAATATTTGAACAATTTTAAAGATTATTTTCAATTCTATGTTAAATCTTAATTGATCAAATTTGAATTTCTCAACTTTTTAAAGATTATATGATAATTAATTAACAAAATATCTTAAAAAAATTTCAAACAAATTAAAAAATCTGTTTGATTCGATCATTGAAATAAGACAAATTTTAACAAGATTTCATATTAAGAATCTATAAAATCTATTCTTATATTTTATATCTGATTTTAATTTATTTATAAAATCTATAAATTTAACGTATAAACTCTAAAAACAAAAAAATAATTAAATCAACTTTGTAGATCCAAAAAAATAGAACAAAAACATATCAAAAATCTTGTGAAGATTGCTATAAATGCCTCGAACAAAAAAAGAAAAAAAAATTTTTACTAAACATACAAGATGTTTGGCTTGTGTTAAGAAGAGAATCAAATATATCAGTACTTTGAATTCAGATATATGTCAATATTGTTTAGAGAATAATCATATATGTAATCGCTTCAAACCAAGTAAATTTTATGAAGAGATTAACAGATTGAATAATATCATATACAATCATGAATTACGAATTCAAAAACTTGAATATGATGTCTCAATTTTAAAGAAAGAAAATCAGATTTTTAAGAGAAATCTCAATCAAAGAAAATTACTCGATGAAGCTTTGGCTTCTGAAATACTGATGCAAGATGAAGATAATAATATTAACTAATATAAGTTTATATAAATACATAAGATTTTATTTTTTTTAAAAATAAAGATGAATTTACTATTTGATATTCTATTCTATATCTTTGATCTTTTATCTCCTCAAGAGAGGTTCAAAATAAAAAAAGTATCAAAATTATTTTATGATATTTATCTTAAACATATTTTAAAAAGAAATAATCTTGATCCAAACAAATATATTCTTTATCGAAGAAGTAAAAACATAAAATCTGATAATTTAATTTATGATATCGTTCGAAATGATGATAAATACATCTTTCTGAAAACTAAAAGATCAAAGAAAGAAACTAAAGTTAAAAAATTATATAATAAATATGGTGCAATATATTGTAAGTTTCAGAATAACTATTTATATATTCATGAAAAAGAATATATTAAAGATATCGAAAAGGATACTTGTGAAAAATGTAAAGAATTACATTTTTTAAATGATTGTGATATCTTTAAAGAAGTTTGTCCTTTTAAAAATTGTAAAAAACTAAAAGTTTACAAAGAATTGAAGGATATTAATGATAAATTAACAAAGAATTTTGATAATTATTGTGAGCATAGATTCTGTCAATGGTGCGCTTTAAAATTTTCAATTCGATACAATGTAAAAAATAATAAATATATTCAGAAATTGTTTATTCAATAAAATTAAAAACTACTATATTTTGTATGATTCAAATAATCTTCGTATAGGAAGAAATCTAAATATTCAACAAAATCAACTAAATATTTCATAAATTTATCATCATCAGTTTCTTTAAAAATCTTTAAACACTTAGTTAACTTTCGAACATTTAAATTTTCTTTTATAAATTTATATTTACAACGTTGCATTCTGTAATTAGGAATATATTTTTCTTTTATATGTAATTTAATCATTTTCACTACTAAAATTTCATTTTTATATTCAATATCTTTGAAAGCATCTTTGTAATATCGAAGTTGGTTTAAGTTCTTTTCAAAAAATTCATAAAGAATTTCATCTTTTTCATCGATTTGATAAATTACTTGATTAGATATAGACATTTTAAAAAAATTATTTAAATCATATAAACAACAAGAATATTTATATAAATTTCATCGAACTAAAATAATCCATTAGTTCAGATGCTTTTTCTGTATTGATCAGTTGATCTATTAAAGAATCCTCATGAGGAAATTTATAATTAGTCCTCATGAGGATATTTGTGATCGATCCTTAAGAGGAAATTTTAAGTGTAACTAAATAACGTGTATTTTTTTTTATATAATTTTAATATTTTATAATAAAATTCTTTATAAAAAGACAATACTCTAATTTACAAAAACTTTATCAGTATGAATAAATTACCATTTGATATTTTATTTTTTATATTTAGTTATCTGTTTCCTCAAGAAAGAATTAATATAAAAACTGTATCGAAAACTTTCTATAATGTATATCTGAAACAACTTTTGTCTAGTAACAAACTTGATCCAAATAAATATATTTTTTATCGAACTACAAATTCTAATATTATCATTTATAATATTATCAGAACTGATAATAAATACATCTATCTAAAAACAAAAAGAGCTAAGAAAGAAACCAAAGTTAAGAAATTATTCAATAAACATAGTATTGTTTATTGTAAATTTAATAAAGATTATTTATACGTATATGAAAAGGAACATAAAGAAAAAATAGGAAGAAATATATACACATATTATCATTGGAA